GGCGGCGGTCGCTGTCTCTCCTTCACCCGCATCACCAGGGTCTCCGTCTTCCTCTCCGACACCGTCAGCCCGAACTCCCGGAACACCTCCACGATAATGGTCATCATCCTCGCCAGGCCGTCGGCGGACTTCGACACAACGCCGGCATCGTCGGCATATAGCATCCCCCACACCGCCCTCCGGACTCGGTCCAGCAATCCCTCCCCCCTCCGTTCCTCCTCCTTCAAGTACACTAGGTCCCGCACGATAACCTCATCTTGGCTGAACCGTGTGACAATGATCTCGAGAGGCGCTGCGAAGAAGACGCCCTTGATTTTTTTATTTCTCCTTAGAATTTTGGTCCATTTCCCTGAACCAGCTTGTACTGATGAACCAATATTTTTTTTATTTATATGTCATAACCATTGTGTGATGAACCATGTAGCTACTCCCCCGCTCTTATTGCCCTTGAGGTACACTGCTGTAGTCTATGCAAATGCGAAAGGAATCATTGCTTGCTGTTGTGCAAAAACGAATGGAGGGGCAATCAAGCCCCGACTCAACGCCCTGCCCTGCATACTGCGGTGGGTGTGTGTGGACACTGGCGTGTCCGAGGCATCAGGAATAGCTTGACATGTTTGCTAGCCGTTCTTTCTCATACCAACACCGCATGCGAATGCCGAACACAACCCTCGAGGTGCCGGTTGCTGCTGAACTATTCTTGTGTCATCGGTGGATACTTGCTACAGCAGTAGCGCCAAGCCCTTTCTGCATGTCACATCGCCGAGGAAAAAACACCCCAACCACTAATGCGCACGGCGGCGTGCAACGAACGGTGGCCGTGGCGCTGGTTGTGGGAAGACGCGGCTGCAAGACAGGCAAACACCGCGTTGTTGTTTGTTGCGTAAAGAACATTAGTCTACGTGCTTCGCCGGGCGGTGGGGGGGTCCGGTCTCGACCTTCCTTTGTTGCAGGAGAGGAAACGAGCAGCAGCAGCTCCAACGAGAGAGCGAGGGGGTGAGTGAGGCATCATCACCAGCTCGGGTAGTACTGTAACAGCTCGCACCCATGCCTGGGTGTCTCCGCCACCAGTGTGGCTATGGTCACCACGACAAGCTTCCTCTCTCGAACATAAGACACGACGTTTGAACGTGTGATGATGACGAGCAATAGCGGCACAAGCACCTGTTGTTGCAGACTCCTGAATTCCTGGGTTGCCTGTTGTTGCTTGCCGCGCGCTTACAAGCAGTACATACCGAAAACTTAAGCTAAATGGAACGACGACCAAAGCTTCTGATCTCACCAGCTGGAGCTTGGAGCGTCTCTTGGTGAGGAAGTTCTTCCTCACCAACGCGCCGAACTGACGGCAGAAGTCGCCACACGCCATCTTGCCAGGGATCAGGATCGCTGAAATATGGCACGCAGCTTTGGTAACCGAAGTGCTTGTTGTTGGTTGGCGAAGCAGGAGTGTGGTTATGTGCGTGTGCGTGTCAATCCCAGCAAGGGGGGAGCCAGCAGCGCAGAGCTAGGTGGCCGCAAGGAGGTGCCTAGCTAATGGCGTGTGTGTTGCACGAGTGTCTGCCAGCCGGTGTGGTGTGGGACGGGGTTGGTGTGTTGGTTTGGTGTGTGTGCGGTCTGAGGGAGGGAGGAGCCTGTGGATATTTCTGAGTCGTGGTGGCAGAGACGTAATATCTACCGCCCGGCGGCGTTTCCGTGCGAATCCTGCCCAATTCCCCGATGGAAAAGCGGAGTATTGTTGTCTCTCGAACGGGTGTGTGTACCACTACAAGCCACCTCTCGTTGGATGTAAATGTACGTGACAAGAAAAATTATCTGAAAAAAATAGGAAGAAGGGGCAGAACATGCTTAACGACCGCGGTGCATGCGGTGGCTGACGATCCGTCGCTGTAAACTAGAAGGAAACAGAACACAACAAGTCTTCTTCTTGTGGTTGCCCGGGATATTTTACTGGTCGGATTTTACATTAAGATGACTATGTACACATTATGTATGTACCCTGGCTTGGCAAACGAAAATTACGCACGGATTGTTCGTGGGTCGGTTTCGTGACAGAAGGTGAACAAACCAAACCCCTTGTAGCCTTTCCGAGCAAAAGCGGCGAAGCGTCTGCAGTACAGCCGGCGAAACCAAGCGGCCAATCGGGGTAAACACCGCAAGGGGCGAAGGTGGACGCTGATACAACCATACTCAGGAGGATATATAGGCTGGTGAAACGGTACATCGCAATCAAATCCGTGGGATCTGTTGCGAACAGCTTCCCGTCCGCCACCTTCTCACTCTCAGCCCAACTTAACCCCCCTCCTACTCCCTGGTCCGGTGAGAACCCGGCGTGCTATGTCCCGGCTTTGTAGGGATGCGAGGTCAATGGCCTAATGACTACAGTATGCATAATTATCAGTACACACGCCCCACTCCATCTTCCTCTCCGGGATGATTCCCATCATGCATCCTTTCACCTGTTTCTATCGATCGATATACAGCAGCTACATAGCTCCAAAACGTCACACATTAACCCGCCGACTCTTCTTCCGGCTGTCAGTATCGTCCACACCCTCATCACCCCCGCCGCCGGCCTCCTGTCTTCCCCTCTTGGGACCCTTGATCGAGATGGGTCGGGATGGTCGCCCCGCGCTTCCGCTCCCACCATCACCGCCTCCCCCGCCCTTGCCCCCACCTCCATCTCCCACTACCTTACCCCCCCCGCCCTTCCTCGACTTCTCTGCGAGCTTTGCCCGGTACTCGGAAACCTTGTTTGCCCACCCGGGCGGCGATTTTGCCAAAACCTTGGCGAACGCCTCTTTGGCTCGCAACTCCTCCGCCTGGGAGAGCGGCCGTCGGGGCGGCCGGGCCGCCCGAGCCGCCGCTTGGTTCACGACGTCCTCCAGCGCCGAGCGCGGCAGGAGAGCGGTAACGGCGCCTTTTCCCGGTGCCGACGGCTTTGGCTTCGACTTGTCGCCGCCGCTGGCGACAGCAGCAGCCGCGGTGTCGACAGCAGGCGGTGGGGGGGGGGACGCCAGCGGCAAGAGGCCGGCGACAAGTTCGAGTGCCTTGATAAACACGGCGTCGGTGACGAGCGCCAACTCCAACCCTGTCGAAAAAAGCTCCAAGACGAGAAGCAGCGTCTGGGTTTGGATGAGAGCAAGGGAGGGCGGGTGGGGGGGGG